CCTATCTATAGTTGAGGGAGGAAAGAGTAGAAGTGACAGATACAGAAGTGAACCACTTGTTTTATCACTGTTACATACATATGTCTTTCTAATTATGCAAATATATTAAATAATCATTAAAATCAAAGAGGAAATTAATAATTGCTAAAAATCTGAAACAGACTAACACATATGAACTTCATTTTACATCGAGTTGATCACATAACCAACCACCACAGAAAATTACTTCAACTGATCTTGGAAGACAATATCTGGGCTTACATCTTCAGTATATATTCAAGTACAAAGCAAGCTTATCTGTCATTTGATAGTCTTACTGATGTATTATAAGTAAAGCACATAAATACTTATATTATTGTTGTTAGGAACCAAAAATTTCAGCATACAAGAGTTACAGATATAAAATCAAAAGAAGTAAAAGACTCTGTAACTTTAAATTTTAATTGGCAATATTAGTATAAACTCAAAATTTTTCTCCTGTAGCTATTTATTAGCTCTGCTCACTAAAAGGGGCTAGAAGAAAAGTAGTAGCAACAAGTACCCCTAAGGCTTAGATTGTGGTGTTTAACTACCACTTTCTTCTAAAGGTAATCAAAGCTTCATGGAGAAATGTCTAATTCCAGACATGAGGCAGAAAAGGTATATAATGAGCCTGGGACAGTCTGTCTGAAATGAACAAAGATGACAAAAGTCATGTCAAAAGGACTCAAGAGCCAAGTTAAAAAGTCTCCTACTAACCAAAGAAGTAACATTTTGAGAAAAGAGAATGAGGGCAACTGATTAAAACACTAAATACATATTTTTAAAGCCATGAGTTCACAATGATGTTTAAAAAAGAAAACACACACACACAGAAAAAACTCTACCAAAAAGCAAAGCAAAAATATAAAAACGTATTGAACCCTACTGGAATTTGCTAGGACATGAAGTAAATATTCTGAAAATGGATAAAGAGAAAAAATTAAGTATTTATATAACATTTTGTTTATTTATCCTTTATTTCAGGGTAACAAAGGGCTCTAGTAAATGTGAGGAAGTTCTTTTATACAGAATTCCAGTTAATAAATATGGAAAGAATGAAAATAATAGAAGATCATTATTTAATAAAATTGACATGGCAGTGGTCATCAATGAAGGCTAAAGCCACTAAATAAAAGACTGGTAAGTAACTTACCATTGAGGCACCAGACTTTCACCATCTGAACCCACCGATTAATCTTAGCATCACTGAGAGCAGGACAACTAAATATTATTAATGTGTACTCTGTACAACTGTACCACTTCCCCAAAACTGAATGTGAATCTAATCAGTCTTTAGCTCTAACTTCCAGTCTATAGGAAATAGAGAGGATAGGATAACAAGTTAAATAACCACAGGAAGCAATCAGCCAAATCCACACTGTGGTATATATTCCATTATAATTTACTAGTTTCTTCGACAAGTCAATGGAATTTTAAAAGGTGGTAAGGGGAGAAGGAAATGTTTTAGAATAAAAGAAATCTAAGAAATTTAACAACCAAATATAGTAAGCGGACTCTGTGGGATCTTGATCTGATTAAACCATAAACAACATTTAGTCATTTAGAACAATCTGAATATGGACTGGGTATTAGATGTTAAGGAAGTATTAATTATTTTAGGTGTGGTAATGACAATGTATTATGTAAGAAGGTTTACTCCTTTTTTTTTTTCTTTTTTTGAGATGCATAACTAAGGTACTTTGGAGGTGTAGTGAAATCATTTATTTTATAATACTCCAACAAAGGGAAGATAAACAGAAGAACCAATAAATGGATGAAACAAGTATGGCTGTTGAAGCTGGGGAGTAGGTACATAGCAGTTCACTGAACTCTCTATATTTGAAAAGTAAAAACAAAACAATTTTTCACTGCCGTCCACCAAAAGAAACTTGTGGGTATAGATCTAAGTTCTAAAAACCATAAGATTTGAGAAATATATTGGAGAGCATGGATGAAAATGAGCTACGGTGGTTATTCTTATCTTAAGAGAAGATCAGAAAAGAGAAACCAAATCTTTTACAAAAGAGAGCTGGAAGAGAAAGCTTGTTAAACAAAGTATGTACTACAAGTCCACAGAATGAGACAGGAAGGAAAGGCTATACTCTAATGTGGATCTTCTCAGAGGTCTGCACCCCACCTATAAAAAAAAGTATGAGGAATGTTTCTACTTAGGAGGAGTGGCCACAAGTTTGCAAAGGACATCAAGAAAGCCTAATATGGAAGAGAATTACCTACAAGAAAGAGTACTGCTATACAAAAAGAACTGGAATATCTAAACTTTATCTTAGAAAATAAAAGATTAACTGAATTTAAAATGAAAGATAAAGTTACATTATGAACTCATTTGAAGTTTAAAACTGGTATTAAATCCTTAAAGGTAAATTTTTTAAGTGAGAAGTAGCCCAGAAGAACATAGGTTGCTTCTAAAATTGTAGAAATATAAGCATGTATGATTATTATTTCCCAGTAGAATTACAGACCTCCTTTCCTAGAAGCAGTAGCTAAATGGCAATGTTACTGTTGTGTGATCGTTAAAACACACACACAAACATACACTCACACACACATTATTTTAGGCAATTGTAAAAAGTGCATTTGTGTATTTGGCATCCATGTTTAAATTAAATGCTTGTATATATGTATATTAGAGATTAATACGCTTATTTTCTTTTTAACTTTTATTGTACATATTAAATTTACATTTAATGCTGTAAAATAATTCAAAGCTTCTTTTATTTCAGCTGACATATAAAAAAACTATAGCCCTCAAGGGCATAGAATAAATTGTTTATCTTAAGAGAATAGTGCATTAAGAACTCACTGATTTGACAGTTCTAAAACACTGGAGCACCTTCTAAGAGTCAGACACTATACCAGCTGTTAGAAATATCAAGATGAATCTAAGATGACAGAGGAAAAGACACTTCTGTCCTGACTCTTCCAAAATTCACTATAAAGCAATAAAGAAACACAAGAAACTGAAACCCTAATTCCACCCTGGAAGAACCTAAAAGCTAAATGTAACTGACTAAGCAGTCACCCTCCCAGGCAGATGCAACCACAGAACTCTGGAAATACTCAGGAGTTGGAGACATCAGGTATTGCAGAGGCAAGCTTATTTTGAGGACCTCCTTATTTTGAATTGGACCTCCAGGTTGCTCTCTTTCTTATCCCACAACTATAGGTGATGAGAGGGCTATTCTTCAGAGAAGTTAAACCAAAGAGGCCCTGGACTGGGAACACCAAATATTGTAGAAGGTAGAGATGAGGATGGAAAGAAACAAGGAAAGTAAATGACAGTATGCTTATTGAATACTGACATCACCCCTCCGTATCCCAGAACATTTGCAGCCAGCCATATTACCCCACCCTCACCCCAGGCAAGGAACTCAAAGATCTTACTCTGAAAAAGCTATACAACTCCAAAGGGAAAGATCTATAGATACTGAGATAGAGGGCTCCTCAATGAAAAAGCCAGCTCATCTTCTAATCACCTGACAGTAAAGCAAACTAGATTTTATGTCCTGTCTACAAGCATAGGGCTCTGGTCACTAACTTTTACATAGGAATAGATGGCTCAGGATCACCAGACAGTTGAGAAAATGGAAACAGTGTAAAGAATAGGAGAAAAAATTTCAACAACAACCAAACACTATAATTAACAGCCCCAGAAAGTTAAGAAAAATATCTTATCTATAACACAAGAATGGTATGTTCCCCAAAAAGGACAGAGAAGGGCTCTTGGAAATTAAAAAAGAAAGCCAAAAATTTAAACATTAATATAAAGCCTATAAAATTAGGAAATCTCTCAGGAAATGTTCTCTAATACAAATAGACAATAGAATTATTCATTAATAAATTAGTGTTTACACTGTTACAATCAAACTAGTATATAATACAAATTTATATTATTAAAGTAATTACTGATTTAAGTAGAAGTAGTGATAAAACTATATTGAAAGATAAGAGATAAAAGAGCTAAATCATCATCTACCATAGTAAGTCAACGGATTCCAAAATCAATGAATCAAGAGAATAAAAAGATATTATTTAGAATTATGGAAGTAATACCATACATACTTCAGAGATAAAAGTAGTTGTCTCTGGCATAGGATCAAAAGATTGTTTTAGCACTACGTGCATATATCTAAAGTAGGTGCATATATCCCACTTTGATAAAAACAGAGATTAATTTTAAAAGATCAATATGACGTCATACCTTTTCAAAAAGAGTTTATACTCTATTGGAAAGGACAGGCAAAACAACAATTATAGTAGCATGTAATACATGATCTAACAGAAGCAGGCAACCTCAGTCAAAAAAGGAAGGTTTCTGAGATAAGCAGACACTTGAACTTTGGTTTCAAGGATCAAAAAGAGTTAACTGGTTGAAGTGAGAATGGTGAGTGTTTCTCCCAGCAACAGTCTATATACTTTAAGTTTTCTTTCTAAAACACAAATGATAACATTCTATAAACATATTTTTGCACCTTGCTTTTTTTTTAATACATCTTAGAGACTCAGAAAGGCTTGAGAAAGCCTTTATCCTCAGAAAGCCCTTAAAAACAGCTTTTATTTTCTCAACGATCTTTTAGTGAAGTCTTATATAAAGGAAGATAATCTATTTTTTAATATGCTAAGTACCTATTTTTTATTCACAACTGTAATGCATGCTTTTTATAAAAAATTCAACGGTATAAAAAGTTAAAAATATAAAGTAAAAAACTGTTGTTCCTCCACTCCTACTTCCCAGAATAAGCACTTTTAATTCCTTCTAGATCTTTTTCTACAAAAATACACATATGTGTAAATGCCGTTCAATAAAAGCAAATGCAATAACATAATGTTCTATACACTTACTACATCTTATACACACACTAGTCTATATACATAAAATACATTTATATTCTTTGAAGTCTCTTAAAGTCAAAGACTTTGTGATAAGAAATATTAAGAAACTTTACTGCATATCAACTTACCAACACAATCACAGCACTCATCCCAGAGAGTCCCAAGACACAGCATACACTCCTTGCAGCAGGAACAATTTCCTTCTCCAGGTCGGCACTGGCAGAGCTCCTAGAAATAAGACAGATATTCAAAATTAAAATTCCAAATAACAATATTTAAAATTGTTAACTTTTTACAGTATAAAAACACAATATTTGCATTTATAGTAATTTACTCTCAGTGCAATTTTTATTAAAGGTTATTAACTATTTTAGAAACATAAATATCTACAATATTAAGTAGATTTATATTTTCTTTTGGACACATTCAGTGAACATGTTTTGGATGCTTTTATCTTATTTTGAAACATTTTATTAAAGAAAACATTTTCCTTTATAATCCATAACTTTACCCCCCCACACTGCCTTGAAAAATCATTCAGTACAAGCACAAAATCTGCTTTTCAGCTATTAGATTCATTGTTCAAATTAATATAAATGAACAGCCAACTTGTAGTGGAAGCTGTGGTTTCTCAGTATATAAAGTGAGAACAAAAGCATCTTATATAAACTTATTTTTATTGATCTACAACATACTATAACAGTGTACTTGTTGTGGTAGACTACAAAGATAGCAATTATTCTCCTCCCAATGACCACCCTCTTGACAATGTAACTTTGCAGCTCCTTTGATCAAGGGACAGTGTCTATTTCCAGATCTCTTGGATATAGGGTTACTACGAGATTTGCTTTAATCAGCATAATTCAATGGAAGTGACATCATATCTGTTCTGGGTATAGGACTTAAGAGTATTGACTGCTTCCACTCTTTTTCTTTGAACTTTGTCTAGAGAAGGCCACATGGGCAAGTCAGTCTACCTGAAGCCATCCTAGTCCATCCAGCTTCCAACCAACCTGAAGCTGATAACAGACACATGAATGAGCCCAGAAAAACCACCTGGCTAATATAGGCCCAAACTGCCAACTCACAGAAAGAAGAGCTAAATAAATGGTTGCTTTAAGCCACTAAATTTTAGGGTGGTTTGTTACTCCATGATAACTTATACAGCTTGCTTCGTAAGTGAAGATTCAAGGTCATTCCTTTAGTGCTTGTCACCACACTCCTAAACAAATCAAACTTAAAGAGAAATTCTGTAGCCATCACTGCCTACTTGGCTTTCTGGGTTATGAGACAGTATTAGTCGGGCATGAATGACAGGAGTCAAGGCCCAGCTCTGTAACCATAGAAACTTCCCTTGAAGACTTTCCTTAAGGACTTCCCAGAAATACCTCCCTTTTAGGGTTTAAATTAGCCCAAATCCTAGAGCACTAAGGCCATAAAAGCTGCTGGCCTAAACCAGCTACAAATGCATGTGCAGAAAGTACTGCCCATAACTTCATCTTCATTATACCATCATTATAATATCATGGCTTTGCCTAGAAGTTCATCAATCTAATTATAACAGACCAAATTCTGGGTAAGCACATGAGCACTAGGCACAGTGTTATACAGCAGCCAAATGTTAGTCAAGGTGACCTCACATATGGATCATCTAAGACCTCCCATCATGGCTCAAATACAAACAGACCTTGCCATTTCTGCATTTTTAAAAACTTAAACATAGCACATATTAATCCCTATTAAATTCATCTCATTACATTTCTAGACTACCAGCGTCACTTCATCATTCTAATATGACATATTTATGGTCACTGATATTTAATTGTACTGATAATAAATACTGATAATTTAATTATGGTGATAATAAACACTGGTATTTAATTTGTTTTCTTCTCCAAAAGTCCACTAGCTATTACACAGAATCCATATTTGTGCTATTTTCTAACTAATTAATTAGTTTGATGTCAATATATATCTGAGACCTAATACGTGCAAGTTGTAATACTTTAGTACTGCGGAATTCTATATAGTCAGGCCGTTTTGATGTACTACAGACTGTGGGTAACTTTGCTAGGCCTATTAGAAACAGAGGGACTATGAGGGCAAGGACTTCCTGAGAAGTATAGATGTTTTATCATAAAATTGTTGATGTTGATTCAGACACATTCAAACTTCCTTGGGAATCTAGAAAAACAGTCTCCAAAGCTATACTTTGTGACTTGTTTCTCCATAAAAACCTGTCTGTCCTTTGGGGAAAGAGAATATTTTCTGAGTACATATCTTTTAAAAACACCACCAGAGTTAAGGATATTGATACTTTTTGATTTTTAGTTTAATAAAGGTAGCCATTTGTCACAAGAAATAAAGCTTCTTTTAAATTTACATTTTACATAGAAAATAGCCTTTTACTATCTTACTTGCTTATATTTATATTATCTATTTAGCTCAGGAGAAACAAATTAGAAAAGTAACAAATTTATTCAAAGAATTGCCTCTCCTTTTTCCTATCACAAGTTCCAAATAGTAGCCTATTAAATGAATTATTATATATTATGCTAAATATTTAAAAATGAATGCCAATTTAATGGCTTCCATTAGAGAAATTCGAGTTTTTAAAGTATTCATTGTGCCTTTAGTAAAAGGTATTTCTGAGGTGTTTTGATTGGAATGAAAGGGTGAGTGATATCCCGAGATTACTGCTAACTAATGGAAGGTTAAAACTATGACTATTTAAAAGTTACTTGAACTTGACTGGATTATCTAGCCCTCAGGATTAAATCTATTTCACAGCCTCTTAATAGATATCTGGACTTTTACATGTCAGTGTGACAGAATAATATTCAGTAGTAATGTACTTAATGATTATGAAATTTGTACAACATTCAATTAGTAAGTGGCTGAGTTTTGACCCTAGTTTTAGTTAATTATTCCTGCTTTTTTAAATACTGAAATGAGAAATACAAAGCTTACTTCTTATTAATTCAGTATTTCAATGATTATAGTTATTACTCTTTCTTAGAGAGAAGAGCCCATAATTAAATTCAGATAATCCTTTAGGTTGTTTAATTAAAGGCATTATATCTTTCACTCTCAGTACCTGAATACAATTAGAAGTGCTACTGCCCAAGTTTAATCATTGTTTGTAAAGGTAATGTAAGTATCCTTGGTTAAGAGTTGCAAAACCAGTGAGTTGGAATTTAATAGTTAATTCTTTTGTTGCTTCTGCCAGTTAATGACCATATCATCTGCTTCCCTAGTTTGCAAGTCTCAGAGAAAGTGTGGGTGTTGCTCACAGTACAGATGAAAAGGCTAAGGAGTGGGTTAGTGATTCATCTGAGTTCACACAACTGGGGCTCTGACATCAGATCTTCTGACTCAGAGCCGTTCTTACCACCATTGCTCTTACATGTTAGAGCCAGGATAACAATGAAATAAGATATTTGTTTCCTCTGTGAAGGACAATCCTAGATGTTGTTTAAAGTTTGGTAATCACATGGCTCTATAATTTTATAATGGAAAAAAAAATCAAAATTTTATACTAAATGGAAAACAGAAATTTATATATTTGGGTTATCCCATATTGACCAGTACGGGTAATTAGAATTTGGCAAGTTGCTTAAAAAAAGCCTCTGGAAGGATAAAAAGTTTTGAAAAGAGTCTAATCATTTAAAATGTATATTACTACAACTGTATCAGGAAAAACCTTGAATATGACAGAGAATTTCAAATTTTTGAATGCCAGAAGACAGAGTTTTTATATAATTATTCAATCGACTTTAACAGAAAACCTTATTCTCTCTACAGCTAAGGTTCTGCAAAGTAAATGAAAGAGGTATTATTCATTTAAGACTAAGACTAGACTGAGTAAAAATTCATTTTATGAACTTCCAAATTTCCAGGCCAGAGATGGAAATTCATAACTTGAGGAAGAATCTTATTTACATTCTGATGTTCAGTTACTGATAAATATTTCCATTTTCTAACTGTTGCCAAGAGCTGAGAGATTTGTTAGCACTGCTGCCAACATGGGGAAACACCATCACTGAGAACAATATAGTCTAGTAGATAGCAAATAACTTGGACTTACAGGATCTAGATTCAAGTCCTAACCCATAAGCTGCACCATGTAACATACAGTCTCAGCTTCTCAGTCATAAAAAGAGGATGGTATTACTGGGCTTACCTTCACAGACTTTGGCATCCAAATGAGATAATGACTCTCAAAATGCTTTGGTGACCCAGCAATCTCTCTCCTAGGTATTTACTCAAGAGAAATGAAAACTTATGTCTACACAAAGACCCGTATGTGAAAGTAAACATGAACTTTATTCATCATCACCAAAAACTGTAAACAACTCAATGTCAATCACCTATTAAATGAATAAACAAATTGTGGTACATCCACACAAGACTATTACTCAGCAACACAAAAGAAAGAACTACCTGATATACACAACAACATGGACGAATCTCAAAAGCATTATACTAGATGAAAGAAGCCAGACAGAAACAAAAGGCTACATACTGTATGATTCTGTTTATATGACATTCTGGAAAAGGTGAACCTATTGGGACAAAAATCAAATCAGTGGTAACCAGACACTGAAGTTGCGGAGGGAGCTAGTTTTGACTACAAAGGGTCATGAGAAATGTTCCCTATCTTGACTATGGTGGCTACGTGAGCATCTGTTTGCAAAATATCATAGAACTGTATACCTAAAGAGAGTGAATTATATTGTATGTAAATTATACCTCCATAAATATGACTGAAAGATGCACTGGGATATCAGGGAGTATTTTATTTCACCTTTGAAAGACCAGTACGGTACACTGTGGTACAGAAATTTATTATTTTAATAAACTAAAATTGATAAATGTTAAGCACTATATCAATGCAAGTTGGTATTAAAGAAAGCAATATAGAAGACAGTTACTCTAACTGCAAATATATGTTTTATTTTTAAGTTAATACTACACTTCTCTAAACTAACAAATACTATTTTTTACAAAACAATATAAAATGATGCTAGTAAAATATGCAGAACACAATAGTTGTATATATAATGTAGTTGTTAAAAATCACCTAAACACAGAATAAAAACCTAGAAAGGGCTATACTAAAATATTAAGAGTAGTCTGTATGTGTAAAATAGGACTATGAATAATTTACTTTTCTTTTTCTACTTTTATGTATTCTGAATTCTCGAGTACAAAATATTTTTATAATG